GGCAGCCACAGCTCCCACCCCAAGCAGAAGGAATGGAACATTTCCCATAACACCTGCAGACATCCTGGATAAGGGACTAACTTGTGACACCCCCATGTAGGAAATCCTGGTGACAGTGGAGGAGGAGCCCAAGGAGTCGCCCGCGATGGCCCCCAGCGGGTCCTGCCTGGCTGAGACATTGTCCGTGGGTCCTGCTGCAGCCCACAGCGGGGTAAGTGAAAGGGGTTTTATTGGGGGTTTGGGGATTGTTTTGGGGGATTGTTTAGGGGGCTCTGGTGGAAAGAGATCTTTTAAATCAAATTCGGGTTCTTAACTATTAGGAAAAAGCTAGTCCTTGGGCTGACACAGCTCTGCTGGCCGGGGCAGGGCTGCACCTGACGGACTGCACAGAGTGACCGTTGGAACAGGGGAAAAAAAAGTCAGCAGGTGTAAGGAAAGGGATTACTGAAAATAACTTGTCTTGTATTTCCCTTTTCCCAGGTGAATAACGATGCTCCTTCCCCCAGCTCGGGGTGGAGGTGGGTGATGGAGAAAAGCTTGGCTCAGAGGCATCAGACTGAGATTTCCTGTGGGACTTGTAACCCCCCTGGTGTATGTCACTCCCCTCCCCTACCCCGCAGGCTGCTGCTGCTGCTTTCTGGTTCAGGTACTGCTCCTAGGAAAGGGATGAACATGAAGGGTACGCAACAGTGGGGCTGCCCCATGGCTGTTATCCCTCAAAACAGGGAGGAAAGGAAGAGCAGAAACGGCTGAGCAGCTGTGTTTGGTCTCTTTTACCTCCTCCTAGAAGTTTCCTGACCTCTTCTACAGGCCCTGGGCACAAAGGCAAAGCGATTTAGCCTCCGAAATCCTGCCCCGCTGCCTGCCCGGTTCCAGGAAGCCCAGGAGCGTGGCCACACCACCTGAAATGCTGTTTTTTCCTCGACTACCATGTAACAAGACAGACATTTGACACACACACATCACCGCTGGCTGGCAGACGGGGGCCGGCTCGGCGCTGGGCTCCACGCACCCCCGGGAGGCCGGGCAGGAGGGTCTCGGGGAGGCAGAGCCCGTCCTGGGCTGCAGCAGCTCTCGCGGGGGTCACGTTGGCACTTGTCAGCACAGAGCTGCTGCTCCCAGGCGGGGGGTGAGGAGAGAAGGAGGCAGGGGCGATAATTTAAGCGAGCGCCTGCGTGGCTCGTGCCAGGGCTCCCGGTGCCGCAGCACCCGTCATTGCCTGGCTGCAGCGCTGTCGGGTGGCAGCCCAAGAGCCGCCTGATGCATTGGTCCAGTCACGCTTTGTTAAATAAATAAGGTACAGTTAAGACAGCTGTAACTCAATTCCGCAGGCGCTTGTGTTTATACATTTTCCTCGTGTCTCTGGCCAAAGAACACACTTCCTCTGGTCAGTCTGATTTGAAAAAATAAAAATGTCACTCTGCCAGCCTTTCCCTGAGCCTCCCCGTCTCGGTACAGCGGTCGCAGTCGAG